ATTATGTGTATGATTATTTTTCCTATTCCAGGTAAAGGATTTTTGGGGAACGCCATTCATTGATTACGCGTTATTTTATTCTATCTCGTATATTCACATTCATATTTTAGATACGGTATAATGCTATATACTATATATAAAGAAAAATATAATAAACAGATGACAAACTCATCGAAATCTATGGCTAAAATAAAATATATTAAGTTGATGATTGATGATCATAAAATAGACTCACTAAAAATATATAAAATAATTAAAGACACTCTGAGATAAAATTAAGATTTCCCATATATGAAGTTTATTCCTCCGTCTCCATAGGTAACGGCGGGGTCACCGGCTCAAATCTCGGGCTGTCCGGCTCAACCTCCTCCTCGGCCGCCACTTCCGGAACTGCTATCGGGTGGTATTCTTTTTCTTCCTCGGTCCAGCATTTCTCTTGTTCCGACGTCCATCTGCGGACCACTTCCAGCGCTTGCTCCGCCCTCTCCGTTGACGTCTCCGCAGTCGTGACGTGAATCGTAGACGGCTGCAACAGTGCAGACGGATACAGCGTCACTTCGAAGTCGTGGCGTGGATTTCGCGGCCCGTTCTGGAACGATCCGCGAATCGCGAAATGTCTTATCGCACGGTCGATGCCTCCAATTCGCACTACGCCGAGTAGATGCAACGTTCGATACCTCGACACGGCGTTCACAACTTGCGGCACTCGTCTCGGAGAGCTCGGTCTCGGAGGAAGAATCGCACTCGCGACGGTCTATCGAAGAAGAGTCGACACGCGTGGCTACTCGGATCCGAGGTCGAAAAAGATTGCTCGCGCGTTTCCGAAGGCTCGTCATATATAGCGTTTTCTCCGCGTTGCATCCCCGTTACTGACGCGTTATCCCATTGTGACCCGCACGTCCCTCAAGTACCGATTGGCCATCGAACACGTCACTCGGAGGGATGGTATCGCCAATGGGATCGTTACGGTGTGACGACGACCCGGTGGCGGCGACGACGTCTTGTTAGTATACGTGTTTTTATAAAGTGAAAGTTTTATTGCTGCCAGATGCCTGCGATATATTTATTTGTCTGAGAGGCCGTGCCGGACCCCCGATAACGAACGCATAGTTTTCCGTTTGGGTGTACGACGCGGGTGATTCATCCGACTAGATTCTTTTGTTGACGTCGCGTACACGACTTTCACTTTTATTCTACGCAACACATATGATAATAAATAGTTTTTAGTTCTTTCTAAAGATAAAAATTAACAAAGTGTCGAAACATGGGTTTATGTATGCTATTGTATATGAAATACTGAAGTAAGAATGGAAAAATTATATATACAATTCTAAAACATTCCTTCGGATTAACGTTTATAAATGTGCATATAAATATAAATATTCTCATTCCTGAAATTTATGTAAGACCGATGCCTATTAAGCAACTTAGCTGAGCGTCATAAATTTAGCTGAGTGCAGCATATTTAAATATGCTGTAAACTTATACGCCGGTACTCCACTTTTCGAACTGACTCCAAAATTATAAAGGCTTATCTTAGCCTTGTCGCGCGCGGCACCGATGATGATGCTTTGTTGATAGATATGACTCATCTAAAAATTATACCGTAGACATAATTCTTAGATACGTCACAACTATCACAGAAAGCATCATCGTCGGTGCCGCGCGCGATAAGGATATATGTATATCAATTTTGGTGGTTGTCGCGATCATAAGCAGTCGCGAGACTTTGCAAATATGTCGTCGATAAATCGAGAAAATGAACCGAGGATTAGCGTCTTTGACAATTGCTATGACGGCGGCAGCTCTGAATTCGACGAAACTGAAGAAGAAAGGTATATCTTTAGATTTATAATTAGGTCTTTCGATATCGTTTGAAACATTAGTCTAGAAATAATTCAATAAAACTGAACGAATTCAATTTGTACTTATAATGAATCTAGAATGAATAAATGAACATAGAGATGCGATATACATATAACTCGCAATCGGCATAAAACTACAATATTTTGTAGAACCGCGTGTAGGAAAGTTAAAATTTTTTATTTATATTACAAATCATTTTGCGAGTTCTTTTTTTAACTTTTTAGTATTTTAAACGCATTGATTTTATCTCAACATTTTTGTTTTACCATCAAAAAGTTGTGATATTTTTTTTTAGACAAAGACTGTTTCGATTACGTACCTATATATAAAATCATTGCACTGTGCAAAAATGTTGCGTTTTTTTTTTCAGTTATTGTTTGGCATCGCATCTAAATTAGCTGTCCTATTGGCCACCGCGCAACTAAAACAAAAAAAAAAACAAAACAAAAAAAAGCATCGTTACTGTCTAGTAAATATTAGTCGCTATTAGAATAGCCCGCCAAATTCCCCGACGCTAGTAGCGCCTTGACTCGCGTTGTTAACCGAGCGCTGCGGTTCCCTTCTTGGTTCGCGCACTTCCGCCGAGCGGCGTTTTCCGTCCGTGCGAAAAAGGAGACGTCAGAACCTTCTTGTGCATTGCCGAAGTGTGTGTCTGCTCGCGATAGAAAAGCCAGTGAGAATTGTATCCGTAAGGACAGAATAAATAAAAATACAGAGAAGTGTGT